GAGGAGACACGAGAAAGGTGTCAAAACACTCACCTCTCACTCCTTGCTTGGTCCCTCATGCAGGACTGTGCTCACAGGAGAAGGAAGGGTTTCCAGCAAGTCCTGCAGCCACGGAACAGGTGAGAGCAGCTGGAGCAGGGCACTTCCAGGGCAAGCGTCAGGAAAGGGGGATCACCTGTGCTGGAGCCCTGCTGGGATGATGTGCAGGATCCTCATCCCTCTGAGCCAGGCACCAAGGGAGATGGGGATTGAAGGCAGGCCCACGCAAGGAGGACACAGGTCTCTGTGGAGACCTGAGCTGAGGGTGTGCTGGAGAGGCAGATTTTGGCCAGGACTAATTGATGTATGAACAACTCCATCCCTCCCCTTCACCAAATCCCAACTGATCTGGCCAAATCCACTTTTCTCCTCTTCCAAGGTGACCTTCCCAACCTCAGCTGACCCATTACTAACAATTCCTTCCCATCCTGCCCTCCAAAGCCACCCCCCCCACCCCTCCCTGACCAAGGGAACGACATAAACCTGTGATTGTTCCCGAGGAGCCGCTGTGGGACCTTCCAGGGCTGTGCCCAAACTGAAAGGCTGAGATGGTTCCCAGGTGGCTCTGGGTTCAACCTGCCCAGGCTCAGCTCCATTATTGCCCATCCAAAACGTGGAATGAGAACACAAAGAAATCTTGGCAGTGTTTACACACTCTCTCCACAAACAGGCCTAAATGACTCCCTCGGGACAACTGTGTTTCCAAGCGCATTTCCCCGGGTTGGCACTCAGGCTGCTCAGGGCTCCTCAACTTTGGCAGTGGTGCAGTTTAGATCTCTTTCTTAATTAACTGATTTTCTATGGAAGTCATTTTTATCTCTGTGGTCTCACTAGGAAACGATTTGTCAGGTGTCCAAATCAAACACATTCACCAATACGGGAATTGAAGGAGTAGCACAGGATTTGTTTCCTCCTTTCATTCCTTCAGGCAACAATAACACTCGAAATAGCTCCTAAGATTGTTTTCTAAAGAATAATAAATTTTTCTGTCTGTCAGGCAACTTCAGCTGAAAATAATATGTCAATATTCAGAGAGAAGATTTCTGGAAAACACTGGAGCAGGATCAGGAATTCCTCGTGCGCTTGTTTCAGCTCATGATGGATGAGGGGTTGCTTTATGTGATGACTGCAAACATGATGCTCTGGATGGAAATGGATCATGGCATTGGAGCTGTTGCTGGTGGTTCGGGACTTCCAGCTGGGCTCTGACCCACAGGCTTCACCTGCTCAAATCCTGCCCCACTCCAGCCTTGCCTTCTCTCACCTCCTGCGCTCCCAAACACTCCTTTGGGCTTCTCCAGTGACTCTGCTTTTACCTCCCACCACTACAACGAGCTTTTGCTCTGCTTTCACTGGCCACAGAGGTGCAAAGGCTGGAGAACACTCCACTTCAGGGACATGTGCATTTGATGAGATATGGGTCAATGTTACTTCTGCTCGTGCCACTCTGGGCTGGTCCCTCACTGTGGAAATGGCCCTGGCACCAGCCCATGGTTTAACTCCAGCCTCACATGGCCTCTGGCTTTATCCTGGTGGGATGGGGGAGAGAACTGGGAAGGCAAAACTGAGAAAACTGTGGATTGAGACAAACACTGCAAGTGTGTGGCTTCCTGCTGTGGGTCCACGAGGACAGACAGTGATGGAGACAGTCCAGCCAGGAGTGTGGCGAGCTCGTGTGGGTGAGAAGGTTCAGCAGAAGGCTGAGGAAGTCTGTGGCTTCCAGGGGAATTCCTGCCAGGCTCATCCCTGGAGATGAGCCGAACAACAGAATGCTGTGACTCAAAGGAAAGCACGTCCCCAGAACTCAACTGACCCCTGACTGAGCTGACCACGGAGCTGTGGCTGTTGGGAGCCTGGGCACGAATGAGGGTCTGAGGTAAAACCACAACATGAACAGAAATAAAAGGGCCCAGAGGTGCGTTCGTGGCACAGCACAGAGAGAAACCCCTGAGCTCCCACCAAGGAGGGTTTGAGCAGGCAGGGGCAGAGCTCTGCAGGGCCAGAGCCCCAAGGTCTGACCTGCACTGGGGGTGCTCAGCCTTTCCTACACTATCCCTTCAGAAGAGTTGTCAGCTGAGAATTTCCAAACTCACTCCAAATGCTCCCAAAGCTACAGGCAGCTGTGGGGATTTTTCTGCTCAGCTCCTTAGGCCTGGCTGAAGGACACGTCCCAAAGTGCTGTGACCATGATCATTTCCACATTGGGAATGTGAGTCAGCAGAGCCAGAACACACTGAGATTTGCATTAACCTTCTTGCACCCAGCTCTTCCCCCCCAGTTTTATGAATCACCACCATCTCTTTATGCATTTTATCTGGTAGATTTTATCTTCATGGATTTGATACCTTAGACAAACAGGATTGTGCCATCAACATTTTCCCTGTCTCCTGTAAGGAAACCCTTCCTGCCAGCTATGCAAAGTGGGCTGATGAAATCCTGGAAACTTGTTTTATTGCTGGAATTATTGTCCACGAGGAATAAACATTACTTCAGTAATGCTCTGTCCCAGCATTTGTCCTCATTAAAAGGTAATTTCCTTTTCTATAGTAGAAAAGGAGAAGAAAGGCAATCAAACAAGTGAGGGGATTATTTCCTTTGCTGGTGAGCTCTTTGGAAAGGCGAAAAGAGGAAACTTGTGTTTTTGAGAGAGCTGTGAAATACACCCAGGTCACTCATCTGGGGGGAGATCTGACAGCAACTGCTCTGGTTTCTCAAACAACCTAAGAGAAAAATAAAATGAGAGTAAAACACGAGAAGGGCAGCACAGGCTGTCCACACCAGAGCCATAAATCAGCCCAGGGCTCAGGATGGGATGGCACCACTTCAGGACAGATAAATGCTTGACCACCAAGGAATAGGAGTTTGGACCTGTTTTGTAGGACCAAGCTGCAGAGTTATTTGCAAAGAAAATTGTCTTCCCTCAGTTTCCTCGAAATCTTCAAGCACTTTCAACAAAGTTCCTCAAAATGCAAGACATTCAGATGATGTCATTTATCTGGGCCCACAGAAGCTGTGGCTGCCCCATCCCTGGGAGTGTCCAAGGCCAGGTTGGACAGGGCTTGGAGCAACCTGGTCCAGTGGAAGGTGTCCCTGCCCATGGCAAGGGGTGGGACAAGGTGAGCTTTGATGTCCCTTCCCACCCAAACTATTCCATGAGATGGCAAGAGAAGAGTGGTGGAAACCCTCAGGGGTCAAAAGTGGAGTGGAGTATTTTAGACAGAAGAAAACTGAATTTTTCTTCCCTGTGGCTCAATTCTAAATAAATTCTGTTGTATTTCACCTGCTGAGGGGAAAAAAAGAGGAGTCCTCAGCTGCAAAGGGCACTGTAACCATTGTACAGGCACAGCCAAAGCCTTCAAACAAAGGTGCAGCCCAAAACAAACAAGTTATGGAAAAATCCTGGAAACCACCTCACACCAAAGAGAAATCAATTGGGAAAGCTGTGTTTGCATTGCAGGAGACACCGCTGGGTTCAAAGAGAGCCCATCAGCCCTGGGGAGTGGTGACCAATGTTAATCTTTACCAAGGAAAGATTAACTGTGGGAACTGGGCAAAGATTTCCCCTCCGTGCCCATGGCCGGTTCCGTCCCTCTGCTGGGCACAGCCGGGTCCAGACCCCCCTTCCCACCCTCCCACCTCCCCAGACAAAGGGGTTTGTTGCTGTTCTCACAGGCTGGGTGCCCCTGGGGAAGCGTTCTGATGAAATGGGTGGTGCCCCGGGCAGGCTGAGGGCTCTCGTCTTATCTTTCCGCAGTCGTGATGAAATTCTGAGCTGCTGGCAAAGTGGGCACAGCGCCTGCAGGGTTGGTGCCCTCGCAGCTGAGGGTTCTGCTCTATCACCACGGCAGGCAAGGAAAATAAGCAAATGTAACAGGAGCTGTGAAACACAACAGAGGCTGTAAAATGTCATAAAACACAAAACCGCTATGGGGAGTCTTGGGCGAAAGCTCACTCATTAAAATAAAATATAGAAGTGAATATTTATACACTTAAATCAAAGCACAAATTATATAAGTCACCAACCAGTCCAATCCCTATTTCCAGGGACTTTGGCTTTGGCAGATGTTCTCCCAAGAGCCCCTGTGCAGACCCAGGGTTGCCATTGTGCTCTGGGCAGGGAGGACAGCACTGGGCTGCCTTCCCCTGGGGGAACAGGGGTGACAGAGCTGTGCAGCACCCAGAATTTCAGCATTTTATCTTTTTACAGCTCTTCATCCCTTCAAGAAGTGATGAGGGCAATGGTAGGACTGGTGTTGGACAGGCAGCAAACCCTCCCTGTTGATCAGAAACCATCACAGCCTTTAGCTCCCTGTTTTCATGTCCTGGCTGCAGCAGATCGACATCCAGGACAGGGCTGGGAGCTGTGGTCGGGGTTCACGTGGCTGTGGATGTATCCCACAGTGCCTGTGGGATGTTCCTCCACTCTTCACTGATATCTCATGCAAAGACTCCCCAAAACACGGATGAACTTGGCTTCCATCCAACATCACACCTGGAGAACAACCAGGAGCGTCAGTTCAACGTCATCCCCATCCAGCCTGGGTATCCCAGGAAACACCAACACAAACACTCCCCGGGAGAGCCCAGTCCAGCTTCTCATGCCAGGGGACATCCTTTCTTCGCTCAGAATAAGTTTTTTACTCATGGATAACCTGTGCTGGCTCAGCCAGACGAGTGCAGGGTTGCACCCTGTGATCTGCCCCAGCTCCAGCCTGATTCCCAGGAAGTGTCTGGGGCTCCCCTTCCACGCAGGGCATCAGTTTTTCCAGACAGCTGAAAGTTAATGGCTCTGCCACGAGTCCAGTGAGTAATCCTTGTGAAACCAGCGCTGGGGAAGTTGCCCAGCCAAACAAATTCTGTCACCGTGGCTCCATGCTCTGACGTGGTGCTGAACGTGCAGCACTAGATATAAAAACCAGGAAACAATCCAAAGGAAACGGCACATTTCGGCTCTGCTGCAGGCCAGACACAGGGCACAGGGATGCAGAAAACTATTCCTGGCTGCTTCTTCCAGCAAATGTAAGTATTTTTCCTCTTAAACTAAATAGTAGCACTTGATTACAGTCAGGATATTCCATGGGAATCTGCGTTCCCAAATTTTTTCTCCTCTTCTGTATATTCTTTGACACCATTCCGGGAGGAGTTTTGAAAGGAAGTATTTGTTTAAGAGTGGGAGGTGATTTTCTGTCAGATTACAACAACAGAAGTTACTATTAATTGGAATTTGGGAAGCGTGTCAGAAGAGAGATTCCTGTGGAAATAAAACCTGAACCTCTGAAAATGCAAAGTGTTGGTTCAGGAAAACTCCCGTGAGCTTGAACTGAGGGTCCATCCTCCCAAAAACTGTCCAGGTGTCACTGTCCACGTGCAGGGATCCACAGACAGCAGGAGGCTGCTTTGAAAACTGTAAAGAAACAGATGAATTGGCTCAGGTTTCCTCCTTCACCGATTCTGGAAACACTGAGGAAACAGCCCCCCCATTCCTGTTCCCAGCTGGCCCCATCCCAGGCATGATCCCACCTGCCCAGGCAAAGGCAGAGGGGAGGCTCTGCTGGTGGGGAGCATCTGCCCCCCCTCCCCTGGGCCCTGGGTGGGCTGGCAGGAATTCCCAGCTGTGGGTTGGCTGTGAATGGGGAGATTGGCAGTGGGACTCAGGGGAACCACACGGGAGGAGCCTGTGCCTTCAGCCCCTCCTTGTGCTCCCTGCACAGTCTGTTCTTCATCCAGTGCCTCCTCAGCCTCACCTCTTTGAGGGCTGTGTCTGACCAGTGCCGTGCCCCGGGTGGATCTCTGGCACTGAGCTTGGGTAGAGCAGCAAGGACCATGCCCTCTCACCATCCTTGTGGCCCCCAGGCAGCATTCCCTGCCTCCTGCCACCATTCCCTGCCTCCTGCCACAGCCCAGCCCATGCCCACACGGCATTCCAGAGGGTGTGTGTTGGCAGGTGCCAAAACTCTGCCGGGGGGCACTGGAGCTCTCCATGAGAGAGACCATGAGAGAGCACCCAGCTCTGCTTAATGCACCAGAGCAGATGTATCCAAACTGCATTTGGAGCAAGAATTGGAAATTAGGATGTTTTTTTCCCTATCAAACATCCCCAACTGTCCGTGTGGTGACACACGGGCCTGTTCCTGTCCCCTGGCCCAGGGTGTCACCTGTTTCCTTACCCTGTGCCCGGATTCCTTCGGAGGTATGAAAAGCGTCCCCGCCTGGGGACAACCTGTGACCTGCTGGCTGGGACACCCAGGAGAGATAAACATCTGAATCCCCTGTGGCCAAGGAGGAAATCCAACCTCCAAACCTCGTTCTGCTACATTCTGGATGCAGTTCTAAGCACTAAATCACAGTGTGAGAGAGGTGGAGGGAGCCCTGACAATGATCCCGTGACAATGATCCCGTGACAATGATCCTGACTCCTGGGCCAGCTGGGGCTTGGCAGGCAGGACACCTCTGCCATGTCTCTAACAGAAAGTGGGAAGGCATTTTCCATCCAGGAACTCCAGTTCTTTTCCAAAGGACACTGTGGTGTTAAGGAAAATGCTGGCAGTGTTATGTAAAATGCTGAATTTTTCAAGAAGGGAGGAGGTGAGAAACACTCTGAGCTCCTCAGTGTCTGGACTGGCTGCTTTGGGCACCTCCTCCAGCTGTACCAGCTGCTCCTCATTCCTAACACTCCTCCTTAGAAGAGCTGATCACCAAGCCCTGGATGTAAGATAGGACCCAATGTCCAGAAACTCAGAGTTAAAATGCTCCACAGGGACAAGATCTCCTGTAAATCCAGCCATTGGAGGTTGTAAAATAAAAAAAAGAACTTTATCAGGGCATATGGTTTATCTCCTCAAAAATATCTTAATGAAAATATACACAGACATTTTGCAAGAAAAAAATAATGACAAAACATTCTTAATGTACCTTTCCAAAGGAGTAACTTGCTCGAGTAACAAGATAAATCAGGATTTACCTGTACTTATCACAAGTGTGTTCTCCTCCACTTGTAGCCAGGGAGTTGTATGAGCTTTCACACTGTGGATCCACGTGGGTTTGATCCAATAGATCTCAATTTTATTGGTGCTCTATCAACACAAACGATCAAACCAATCACAGAGTCATTAAGGTTGGAGGAGACCTCAAAGATCTAAGTCCAGCCAGTGTTCAGACACCAATGGTCAGAGATTAACCCTTCCCCTTCCTCAGTGGAGAAGCAAAGCCCACCTTGGGCAGACAGGGAACACCAAAGGGGCTGCACCAGGACTGGGCTCAAAGCACCTGGACTTAATGGGGAGAGCACAGACCACTGATCTTGGGAAGATTTTGTCTTTGCCACAAAATGCACAGTCATTTTTCTACTTAATCACTGTGGAAAACGAGGGCAGGATGAACCAAATCAACTTCAGCTGAAGTACAGGGAGAAATTTTCCCTCTCCCTTCCCCAGAGCATTCCTGTAGCAAGTTGGATCAGATACTTAAAAGACAAAAGAGAACAGGCACATGTGAACCTCAGGTGAGTCAACCTGGTACAAATCCAGTCTCTACAGGCAATGGGAATCCCAGTCTTAACAAAATTGGCTCGGGACCTTTCAGAGGAATCACTCAGGATTATCATCATCCCATCAAAATTGAAACCAGGCAATGACTAAAGCAACCAGCCAGACCTGTTGGGTAACTGCACTGGAAAAGCTCAGTAGTACCAGCTCCAAGGCACTCCCATTGGGAATTCTGAGAATTCACATAAGGAGATAATTGCTCAGTATGAAAGAAATGGGATTATTACTCTTAGTTAAATCTCTGGGGCTCAGCCTCCTGGAAACTTCTTCAGTGACTGACACCTTTCTTGAGTTGTTGGCCTCAAAGCTGGTCATGTGCTTCAGCCAAGCCAAGACCCAAATTCTATCAATTCCTTATTACAGTTAATGAAAATGCTCAAAATGTGAGATCTCTGCAGAACCCACCTGACACACCATTCCTCTAGTTCCTGATAATGAGCCTTCCCTTCTATCCCATCCCTATGCATGACTTAATCACAGTTTCATCTAGTCCATATTTCTTGCCTTGTTCCTCTATAAAAATTCCTCATGAAACAGTATTTGCACTCTTAATGAAAGTCAAGCAATGTGACACTTGCTGGTGCTCACCCATGAGATTGATGATCCTGCTACAGAAGGAAGCTGGGCCCAATAAATTTAACAATGTGAGACACCCACATTGTTCTTCCTTATCTCCTCTCTACCATTTAGATAACAATTTCCTTGTTTATTTTAGTAGAACTGAATTAGCAGATTCTTTTAGTATTTTCTGGCAGCTGAAGTCTTCCATTTTCTGGCTCCTCTTGTCCAACTCCTCCCTTTCAAACACAGGCTCCATCTTTGCTATTTCAAATTTTCAGGGACTTCTACCAGTTAAAACTTCTCACTGATAACCATGGAGGGTTTCCCCCTTACTTCCATCTCCCACCTCACCTTCCTTACCTTCCCATCCTTGTCTCATGGCTCTTCATCTGATGGCTTGGTCTTTCCAACATAATTCTTATACACCTATGCTAATCTTTTATACTGATCTTCACCATATAATCCTCACTCATCATCTAATCCTCACTCCATGTCTTGTAAGCATCTTTCTTTCTTTTTGAGATCATAAGAACTAATAATTTAACCCAATTAACCTCTTGGTGGTCTTTGTAACCTTAACCCACACAGGGATAGCTCCCACTCACTCCCTTTCAATGCAATATCACACCAATTATGCTGCTACCTAAAATACCCAGGCACTTTACAAACTTCATTCCTGTTTAAGATATGAGTGTGTAAACACCAGCTCAGGTCCTGAGTTCTGAGTCATCTCCAACCAGTTCCTGACACCGGAATGTGTTTGTACACTTTGCCTGGAATCTATCCCACTAATTTTACATTTAATCACCCTTTTTTTTCTAATGCATTCTAGGTATTCTTCCCTAACTGGCATTTTGATGGAGAGAGACCACATGAAAGACCTGAGGAGATACCTGGCACTTAAATACATCCAATACCTTGTCCTGTCTTCTTCCCATGCCCTCAGCACCCTGCTGGGCCTGCTGGGCAGCGTGTACACCATGATCACCCTGCAGTCTGCCAAGGTTTCCTCCAAGTCCACTGCAGTCCTCATCTCCAGCCTGGCCAAGGCAGACATGCTGGTTTTGGTGAGCCTGCTTTTGCAGGCGGGTTTATGGACCTCCAGTGCCAGTGTCTCACCCGTGGCAGCTCTGGCGCGGAACCTGCTGACGGCGAACGCCCACCTGAGCTGTGTCCTGCTCAGCTGTGTCGCCCTGGAGGCCTATCTGATCACCTTCCTCCCCACGGAGTCACGGCACCTACGGACCGTGAGGAACGCCAGGATGGCATCCAGGCTCATCTGGCTCCTGGTGGCCGCAGAGTGTGCCCTGTTCCAGGCGGACGATCTCCTGACGGCCGGCGGCGCCTCTGCTCCCACCCACGGCCCCTGGGCCCTCTTGTCTCCCCTCCCCAGCACGGCTGCGGCCCTTCTCAGGTCCCTCAGTTACATCCTGGGCATTCTCCTGAGGATTTTCAATGTCTACATCTACTACAAGATATTTTTCAGCGTGTCTAACAGGTCTAGGCTAAAATCAAAGTAGAGCCTGTTCCCGGGGGACGCGGCGCCGTGACAGCCAACAGAAGGTTCTTCAAACCAGTTTCAAACCATTGGTTTGGAAACTGTTCAATAAGCAGGACCAAGGCTCGTGTTTGGGCTCCCCATGGAGTTTAAACCCTCCTGTTTCCTGGTGCTGTGGTTATGGAGGGGAGCTGGGGCTGAGGAGCCCCTGGGCACTGAGCCAGCTGTGTCTTTGGTTAGACTTTATTCACCGTACAGGTGGAAAAAATGACATTTCAGGAAGGGTTGTAAGGCAACCCCAATATTTTTTATATCAAAAGGGTGCTTAGAGGATTACTCAGGGATCTGTTGAGCCAATATGTAGTTGTTTACTAAAGACATGATCTATGTCCTAAAATATCTCTAACTCAGGTGACCCACCAGACTCAGCAGGTGGGATGGAGAGACAAGGTGAGCACCAAGCTGGGTTGGATGGGCACTGAACAGGCTCCCCAGGGCAGTGGGCACAGCACCAAGGCTGCCAGAGCTTCAGGAAGGTTTGGATGATGGATCCTGGGGATGGGCCTGTGCAGGGCTGAGGGTTGGACTGGATGATCCTTGTGTGTCCCTTCCAACCCAGCACATTCTGTGATTGATTCTGTGACAATCCCCAGTGCACGAGTGGCCATAGACACTTCCACCCACTCCTACCCTTTGCCTGGGAGACACCCCAGATCCAACTCCAGACTGTTGGGAGACTGAACCTCTCAATATGTTCTGCCACCCCCAGAGCGTGGCTGTGGAGCCAGCAGTGAGTGCTGGGTGCTGACAGGGCTTCTCAGGAGACCTGAAAGGAAGCTCTGCTGAGGGCTGGGTAACCACAAAAGGCAGAGCAGAAATGCACTCGAGTCAATTAAAGCCCTTTGATGCGTGTTGTCGAACAAAGCTGATCCCCGGGGCAGGAGGGGTGTCCTGGTGCACTGTGATACACTGCTCTTAGTCTTGAAATGAGACACTCTCAAGAGGGATGAAATGCTACTTGAAGTGCTGTAATTAATAAAAATTGGTTTTGTTAAAGCCTGTGCATTATCTATTACAAATGAGTGCTTTTTTCTGAGGTTCTGCTGCAGTTTCAGCTCCTCCTGCAGAAGCCGAGGCTGAGAGGGGACGATCCCACCGGAGCCGTGTTTGGTGCACAAGGAACATGGAGGTTTTAATCTCTGGATTCACCACTTGGCTTGGGAATATCTTCTGCCTGATCGTCCTGGTGAGTGTTTCTGCTCACAGGACAACAACTTCCTCAAGAAACTAATGAAAGCAAAGGCTGTGTGTCTGAGTCGTGGTCAGGCTGAAAGGGCAGGAGATGCTCCACAAGGAATTTCTGGGACAGCACACCAGGCTGTGAGTGATCTACAGGGCTGGAACACCCAAAGCACTTTGCAGTCAGTGACAGACCCTTTATTCCCTTTGTTCACATCCTCATCTGAAGTTTCCAGACTCCTGAAAGAAGGCGGATTCCTCTACAGCTGGACCAACAGACACAAGCTGTTTTTATTTGCCACTTGAATACAATTTGGCTGGTTAATGAACCAGCATATCCCGTTGTGGATGTAGCTGTGGCTCTGATGTCAGGTCGCTCTCTGCCAAAGAGCTCAAAATCTGCCTTTGCCAAGAGCTCAGAATCATAAAATCATGGAATGGTTTGGGTGGGAAGGGATCCTCATCCAGTCCCACCCCTGCCATGGGCAGGGACACCTTCCACTAGCCCAGGTTGCTCCAAGCTCCATCCAACCTGCCCTTGGACACTTCCAGGGATGGGGCAGCCACAGCTTCTCTGGGCAACCTGTGCCAATATTCAGCTTGGAGCTATTTCCTGCACCAAAACCCCAATCCATCCTCTCCAGGACCACAGAAGCTTTTCTGGGGTGCAGGGAGAGGCACCCATCCCTCTACAGTTGGGAATTACAGTGGAAGGCATGGATGGACAGGACACAGCTGGCATGGGGAAGGCATGTGCCTCTCACAAGATCTGTGTCCTGCTCCCACAGGACACTGGAAGTGTACAAACTTTGCCTCTTGGGAGAAAACTGGTTTAGATTTCAGCTCTTTCAAGTGTGTGTCGGGGCCAGGAATTGCATCACTGCAGTAGCACTGTATGAGCAGAAAGTTGAAACCAAAGGACGTTTGGAATAGAAACGTAATGATGCACAAAAAGGGGAATTCCCATGTCGTGGGAATGACCAAAATTGTTAAATTACACCAGCTACTGTGTAGCTGAGGCTACACAGCGTTTGCCTCACTTAAATCATTAATGCAAGAAGGGAATCGTTCTCCTACTTTTCCTGGGAAGACTCATTCAAAGAAAGTTTGATAATAATTCAAAGAAAGTTTGATAATAGTCCACGGAGCTGTTTCTGAGAAGGAAAGAGTCAGACAGGAAAATATGTTTCTACAACTGGGTCATCTTTCAGCGATCTATTTTCTGAAGCACTGATAATCCAAACAAAGGGCTTGAATTTAGATCTCCCACAAGCCACATGAGCAGATTGAACTGAAGAGATGGGTTTGCTCCCTGCAGTAAATCACGTCGATAGAAGACATTGAGAGTTCTTGGGAAATGTTGGTGTTTTGTTATCAGTGCCTCAAAATCCTGGAAAATTACGAGAATCTGGGTTTCTTCTAACACTTGCTGGCTCCATTTCCTTTAACTCATAGCTATTTCTCCAAATGACATTTAAAATAGCTCTGAGGGTGTTTTAGAATGACACCGAGTGCTCTCGAAAGTGCGAGGAGGTGTTTGGCGGCGGTGGCTCCAGCTGGGAATGTGTGAACAGCACGTGGTGCTGAGCAGCCCCGGCCGCACCGAGGACACGCCGTGCCCGACACGTCCTGCCGAGGGTTCTGGCTCTGCACCCTTGTTCCTCTTTGCTGCATCACTTCTGGAACCGCTCCCGGCCGCGGCGATCGCTGCTCTTGTTTGCACATCGTGCCCTCTGCTGGGAGAGGGGTGGTTTAGCCCAGCCCAAAGGAAAATCCTCCTCTCTCGACCTGGCAGATGCCGGCGACTTGTGCCAAAGGCAAGGAGTGACAGGGCAAGGGGGAATGGCTTTAAGCCGAAGGAAGGGAGATTTAGATGGGATATTGGGAAGGAATTCCTCCCTGTGAGGATGGGGAGGCCCTGGCACAGGTTGCCCAGAGAAGCTGTGGCTGCCCCATCCCTGGAAGTGTCCAAGGCCAGGTTGGATGGAGCTTGGAGCAACCTGGGCTAGTGGAAGGTCTCCCTGCCCATGGCAGGGGGTGGCACTGGATGAGCTTTAAGGTCCCTTCCCATCCAAAGCAGTCTGTGACTCCATGCTGTGGCACATGGGAGATGGGAGGTGACAGCTCCACACCTGGTCCCTCGATGGCCCCTTTCCCCCTTTCCGCCTCAGCCCTCTGCCACACGACACCTATTTATCCCAGCCTGGCTTTGTGACCTCTCCCTTGCAAGCTGGAACTGTGCCAAATAAATCCCCCAGGGGCTGAACATCCACTCCTTTGCCCCCAGGATTATTTGGGGTAGGATAAGCAATGACATTGCCACACACAGTCCTGCACTGCTCTGCAACCCTCCAGCTCAGGCTCTGGAGGTACCTGTGGCCAGGTGGGAGCTTTCTGTTTGTCAGAGCAGTGTGATGGTGTGTCACACCTCAAAAGGGAATTTCTGGGTGCAGGAGGGGGCAGAGCAGGGTCCTGCCTGCACCCCACAGCCCCGAGGGTGCAGTTGGGAGTGACCCCATGGGTCACACGGCCAGGGCATAGCCCATGGGAAGCTCCTCGGTGACATATGGGTTGGAATTTAACAGGAGCTTATGGGAGGATCAGGTGACTCCATGACTTGGAAGTCACCCGGCGAGATGATGTTTGCAAAAAGCAGAGCTGGATTCCAGCTGCATGGGCCACACTCTGGCCTCCCAGACACATATCTGACAGGATAATCAGGGGGAAATGGGATTACAGGTGCAGGTGTGGCTCTGGGAGGCCCAGAGAGCTGAGTTCAGACACACACAGAGGCGAGTGTGTGACAGGGATGGGGACGGACCGAGGTGACACACGGTACATTCTGATTCCCTTTCTCCCCTCCCACTGATCCCTGTGTTTTCCTGAAATTAGGCTGGACAGGCACCCAACCAGAAGCATCTGTTTCTCCTTTCAGTGTCAGCAGTGTAAATAAAGTGCATTTGGGATGTTTGGATTCCATAAATCTATTGGTTTTGGCTGCTCTGCGGGGACGCAGCCGGGCTCTGATCCCGCGCCAGGCACACGGGAGCTGTTTACAGAGCGGGGTGACCGTGGGGGAGTGTGGGACCCTGCCTGGCACTTCAGGAACTGTCATCTCCCCCTGGCCCTTCGCTGAAACAGCTCCTGGAACAGCAGCTGCTGAAGGAAGGGATGGAACTCCCAAGGGCTGGGGGTGCCAGCACCCCATGGATGGCCCTCACCAGCCTGCACAGAAGGTTTGGGCTGGAAAGGACCTTTAAAGGCCACCTAATCCAAGCCCCTCCATGGGCAGGGACACCTTCCACTACACTAGGGTGCTCAGAGCACCATCCATCACCTTCCCATCCTGTTGCAGCCTCACTCCCTTTGGCTGCCTCCTCTGACACGTTCCCCTGCCAGACTCGTGCTGTCACCACGGTGGGGAGCCAACATCCTTCGGGAAGGGTTTGTCTGCCCGGGCTCCAGTCCCCAGGGTGGGCTAAATCCTCCCTGCAATTTAAAAACGGTGACCTGGGGCACTCACCCTGCTACTGCTCTGAGTCCTGGCGCTGAGTTTGGGTGGAAAATTGAGCACCTCAATGGTTTAAACCAGGGCAGATTCATTGCCACAGGAGCTACCAAACAATGACTTAAATCTGATCCTAGTTCATTTCTTTTTGTCTCTTTTGAATAGTGGAGTAGATATATACATTCCTCGTGACTTTTCCTTGTTAACTTGCCTGCTTTTCCCCAAAGGATTGTTAATGAGACGCTCCATGGCCTCGAGAACATGGAAAACAGGCATTTTCCTTGTAAACACAGCAGCCCAGTGGTTTGCTGGAATTCACCCCAGAACAGAACCACCCTCGGGTTAGGAGGTCACACTATAAGCAGATACTTTACCATAGTTTTACATTTTCAGATCGAGGAACACACACAAACACATGAGATTTCCCTTTGCCTGCTAAAGAAAAGCAGGGGATGTGAATCCAGGTGGACACCGACCCTGGTGCTGCCTGAGGGCTGGTTTGGGGCCCTCCAGGGCTTGCAGATCCTGATCCCACCTGGCCCCAGTTCTGTGTTTCCCTCCTTGAAATCCCCTGTGCCTTGTGGACATCAGAGCCACGACCTGGCAGCTTTTTTCCGGTCTCCTCTCCATAGGATGGTCTGTTTGTCCAGGTAGCTCAGAGGAAGGTGAGGAGGAGGAGGAAGGGATGCCAACCCCATTTGCCCTTCAGGCTGGAAGGGTGGGTTATGGTTTGGACTCCCCCACCTGCGTGTGGGGGTGCTTTCTGCCTAACAAAGGTCAGTCATGGGGCTCCAAACCTCCCTGTTGATCATCTACATGAGAAAATGCAGCTTTGCCAGTCCTGTGGCTGATCCAAGATCCAGGAGAAGCTCAGCCCCAGCAAGATAGAGATGCTGCAGTGTGGAGGGGTGTCATTCCAAGGGTGAGCTTTGTCCAAGGAGATAAATAACAAAGATTGGGGAAAAAAAAAAAAACACACAAAAAAAAAAAGCCAAAAAAAAAAAAAAAAAAAAAAAAAAAAAAAAAAAAAAAAAAAACCAACATAAAAAGGAGAGGGATTTTCTGAGAAGAAAAAGGGCTTTTCTCTGAGGAGAATCAGAGGGGGGAGGCACCAGGAGCCCGTGCAGCTCATGGAGCTGCTGACCTTCAATCCAGGCAGAATCTGCTCCTCGCTGAGGTCAAAAGTTGTATTTGCTTTTTGAGAAATGCCTCAGCTCCTTTATCCAAGAGCAACAACCCCGCGTGTCTCGGGGAGGAGGGAGCGGGGAGGAGATTG